GACCCCAAAATAAGGTACCCTTTATTCTCGGAAACTCCCATATGCCGGCACTGCGCAGATTGCCACTGCTCCGTGTTCGGAGGCGCCCACGCGCGTAGTAAACCAAAAAACATGCCCAGAACCTCCCCATGGGCTCTAAAGTAGTTCCTTTTGGGGGTTCATATATAGACTCCTATGAGGTAACCCCCAAAAAGGAACTACTATGGGGTCTATGGATAGCAGCCCAAACCCGGATGTGCCAAGGAGCATGACGCTTGCATTCTCCAGTGCCGCGCAGGTTGTCAAGGCTCAAGATTTGCTGAGAGCCGCAGTTGCCAGCAACTTTACCGCTTTTTTAGGGTTTTCGGGTTTAGGGTTTAGGGTTTAGGGGTAAAGCTTCCAGCTTAAGCGATAAGGGGATTCGGGATCATAGGGCTTCGTGTTTCAGAATGTCGGATCTATCGCTGGCGAAGATGCTGACGGGTTATGTCTCGAGATTCACAGTGTCGGATGTAAGATGTTGCTTCGAAGGCTTTGAGGGGATTGCTGCGCCCTTCTACAGGCATGGTTAAGGAGGACTTTTGCCTCACAGTCTTCGGCTGTGGGGATGGGCACTGCCAACTTAGATAAAGCTGACGTTAACGAACTGCTCCCCGCATTCACGGGTTGGACGGGTTGGACAGCTAAAGGAGCTCTTGTAGCTCAGCCAGCCATGCCTACCGAAAAAGCCTCCATAGTCCAAAACCCCTGAAACCCTAAACCGCTGGTGCTGCTCCTATTGGCCTCCAAGGACGCTGAATGAAACCATCGATCCTGACACATCAGACCCGGGGACTGTTTCTTGATCTTACAAAACTCACCCAATAGCTGTCTACATTAGTGGTCATATTATGGGCTATATGGGTACTTCTCCAAAGCCTTTTTGGGGCCTAATAAGGGACCCTAAGTTAGAGAACTACAGGTATATACTTGTATTAGAAATACTATCTAACTGCTACAGAGTTCGTGCAGGGCTTATAAGCTCCTGTTTAAAGCTTAGGGTTTAGTTTTTGGGTTTAGGGTAAAGGGGTTAAATAATCAAGGGAATAAAATATCGCTGGCGATGATCCATACTCGCAATCTGCAAGTCCCCTAGCATAGTAGGCTATGGTCACATAAGCATACACTACCAGGCTGCAAAATAGCAGGGTATGAACCCACAGTCACAGGTTGCACCCCTTTAGTAGGTCTGTCAATATAAGGGCTCGAATAACCACCCGTCGTTTTGCTGTATGCCTACATAACAATAAACCCAGCCCCATTCTAATTATCAAGACCACAATACTAAACCCTTATGGTAACCCTTACTCTAGAACCTTCGAAAGAACGCGTAATTTAAAGGAACCCAAATCTAAGATTATGAAGGGCCCTAGGTTATATTGAATCTCCAGGTAGGTTCCACACCATGAGGAAGGCTCGGCTGCAGTTCAGCCTCAGTGCTGCTTCGGGTGCATCCCGGGAAGGAGGCCGGTAACCCGAAATCACCAAACATCGCAAGAAGTCGTCGAATTTGTGTTTCTGCCTCTTGGGACGCCCCCAGTATACTACTTGCCTAAATCCAACTCGCCTAAATCCTTCTCTTCACTAGAGATAGGCAGAAGGGGCTTCACAGAGAAAGCGGCTTTCAGTTGAGTTTCTCTTTGGGGCGGGTGCTTAGATTTGGGCGGCTTGGGTTCATTGGGATTACCTTATAGGATTATATATATATATATATAATGTATATATATATATATATATAAATATGAACCCCAAAAAGGGAACTGCTATGGGGCCTATGGGTACCTGAAGGCCAATGCCAGGCTTAGCAGTTGAACAGCAACCCTCAGATACGTCGAAGGCGGGAACTGCAAAATTCGTGGTTCCACTTCCATGATGGTGGGTTTGTTTAGTTTTTAGGGTTTAGGGTTTAGGGCAACAGCAAAATATCGGAATCATAACGCCAAGCCCCCCTCAACCCCTGAACCATGCAATTTTGGGGCCTCACTACCCAGACTGGGCTTATTCGGTGCGTTCTGGCACAAGCATCAGGACTCTTATCAGATAGGTTTACCTTCACCCTACCCTAAACCCTAAACCCTAAACCTTAAACCCTAAGCCCTATAAACCCTAAGCCCTAAACCCAATACACCTTAAACCCTAAACCCTATAAACCCTAAGCCCTAAACCCTAATATGGAGGGTCCGTCACCGGAGCTCGCACGCTGCACTGCACCCCGAACCTTAAAGCCTTTCAGGCTCGAGAGGTTAAAGAATTAATTGCCCAAACCCAACCAAAAAAGGTGAAAAAGCCCAAGGACCCATAATGGGCCATTATTCCACTAATCCCTAAACTCTGAACCTCTGAACCCTAAACCTCTAAACCCGAGACCTTATGTAGGAGGATCATGGAGACGATAGGCAGGGTCAGGTGAAGCCGAGAAACTTGGTGAGGATCTCCGGCAAAGCCTCTTTGGCTGGCCGGCCCCAGCTGACGGTGGCTGGAAGCCTGGGCTTAGGGTTTAGGGGCTTTGGGGTTTAGGGGCTTAGGGGCTTAGGGTTTGGGGTTTTGGGGTTTAGGGTTTGGGGTTTAGGGGTTTAGGGCTTGGGGTTTTGGGGTTTAAGGCTTAGGGGTTTAGGGCTTGGGGTTCAGGGGTTTAGGGTCTAGGGGTTATAAGGGTTAGGGGGTTTAGGGCTTATAGCCTTGGTTTGGGGTTTAGGGTTTCTTTTCAAAGTGGGCATGTGCACTCCTTGACACCCTAGCACGAGCCTTGTAGGCAATCCACAGGGTTCAGGGTTTAGGGTTTGGCATTTGGGGGGTTCCCTAAACCCTAAACCCTTGACTCCCTATGGTGGTGTGGGGCATCTTGGGATGTAGGCTCTGCTTACGGAGGCCTGAAAAGTAGTTCAGAGTTTAGGGTTCAGGGTTCAGGATGGTTCAAGGTATGCAATATATATATATATATATATAATATATATATATATATATATATATAATATATATATATATACACATACACACACATGAACACCGTACACTATGCTTTTTTTGCATGTGCATATATATATATATATATATTATATGTGTGTATATATGTTTATGTATGTATGAAATATAGACAGTGAGATTTCTGAGGAAGCAGGGCCCTATCACTACTCACCTGTTCCAGCATTCGCAGCAACGTCTTCGGCGATTCTGGTTTGGGCATCACATTGCAAGTGAGGCGATTCTATAGGGCACTCTTCTACATAGTATGAGGAATGACAACTGATCTATCATCGAAGCCAGGAGTGCCTTGTGCGTATGTGGGTAATTCTCCAAACTAGGGTCCCTTTTTAGGTCCACAATATAGTACGGCACCCTTATAAAAAGGACCCCCAGAGGGACCCTAATTTAGAAAACTACCCATGTACTTACGAAAGCCCCTAATTAAACCCTAAACCCTAAACCCTAAACGCTAAACCTTAAACCGTACTGTGCAAGAAGGATTCTGCAGGGGAGGTGTTCGGCAAATAGTGGAGTTGAGTAGGGAAGCCGGAGTGGTCAGATCCTTGTTGCAGGGACCCCCCCTGCGCCCTAAAATCTAAACCCCTAACCAACCCTAAACCTTAACCCTATAAACCCTAGACCCTAGACCCTGAACCCTAAACCCTAAACCCTGAACCCCTAAAACCACAACTCCAAATTTTTAGAAAGCCGAACACTCGGACGGGGAACCTGGGACTCCCCCAACCTAATACAGGGGCATACAGAGTTACTTCTACTACGTATGGGGTTTAGGGTTTAGGGTCTAGGCGTTTAGGGCTTAGGGTTTAGGGGTTTAGGATTTAGGGTTTAGCGGTTTGGGGCTTAGGGTTTAGGAATTACCAATAATACTATGTTGGGAATCCTATTCCAATTACTAAGGATAATACTATTTTGGGGTTCCTTTTCTAATTATTAAGGCCCTTATATTACTGCCAGTCTCGTGCAGGCGAGGCGGCGCATGCGTGTTCACCACACCCTCGGAAGCGCCTTGCCTTTGCGGAACTATCTTCTGATGGGTTTAGGGTTTAGGGTTTAGGGCTTCTTGTCGAATGGGCTGTGTCGGACCCCTTCTAAGGATTCTAGGGAGCTGATAGGGTCTGATAGGGATAGGGCTGTGCAGAAACTCGTTCGTGCCTGTACCACAAAAGCCCCCGTAGGCCCGTAACTGTGTACTATGTACCCCCTACATCACAAACCCTAAACCCTAAACCCTAAACCCTAAATTGAAAACCTGGCGTGGGGCTTCCAGCAATAATAGCGGCACATAACACTCGGATTCCCGCGGCCAGGACCCCCCAAGAGGCATCCAAATGCTTAAGAAACCCGCTCTACACGTGAATTGGTTTGGAGTTTAGGGTTTAGGGTTTAGCGGTTTAGGGGTTTAGGGGTTTAGGGTTTAGGGCTTAGGGTTTAGGGGTTTAGGGTTTAGGGTTCAAAAACTCTCGGAGTCTGATTGCTCTGGGGCGATTGAAGAACTGACACCCTGCCTCCTCCACAGTTTAGGGTTTAGGGTTTAGGGTTTAGGGCAACCCAAAAACAACCTTTTCCGAGGACAGTTTACTGGGAAGACACGAGACATTCAGTCTATCAGCCCTTTAAACCCCAAACCCTAACCGTTCCTTATGGGTATACCCCATTGGCACAGGCTATCCTCTGATTCCAAAATCTGGCCAGGCTGGGGAAGGAACGCGCAAGCTATGCTGGCCATGCTCAACTTGAACTCCTGGCAGGCTTTGCCTCTAGGGGTTAGGATTTAGAGTCTTGGGGCATCGGGCTCAGCACCTGCACGTAACATGCATGTCGCGGAATTATATTCTGAAATGCAAGACCCTAAACAACAAAAAACCGATAGAGACTCATCCGCTGATCTGATATAGACTCGGAGTATCAGAAGCTTAGCGAGTCCATTATACTACATGGCCCTCCTTGCAACTGCTTCCCAAGTCCACTGTTCATTGAATCACTCCTGAACACCAACCCTTACACCCCAAACATCCGGATTCGGGGTAGAAGGACTCTGTAACACGACCCGTTGAATTAAAGATGAGGGTGTAAAATCATGCTCGTGCGATCCTCACGTCACCGTGTTCATTTGGGCGTCTGCAGGCCCAGAACCCAAAACACTGAGAGCCCTTCAGCACAAGACGCTCTTAAAGACACATTCGCCACCTAATTAACTAATATGGGGGCCTTACTAATTAGACTAGGGTTCTGGGGGGGGGGGGGGGGGNNTAATAAGGAACCCCCAAAACCTTATTGTAGTTATTAAGGCCCCTACCCTAAACCCTAAACCCTTACAATTATTAAGGCCTCTACACCAACTCCTCAGTGCATCCGAATCGCATGACAGCGTGCCGCACAGCCCGGACCGCCCTGCAGGCACCTGGCCAACCCGGGGCTCCAACGGTTAGTCACAAAGCCCATCATCCTGTATCCGACCTTAGGGGTTCAGGGTTTAGGGTTTAGGGTTTCATCCTGTATCCGACTTCAGGGGTTTAGGGTTTAGGGTTTCATCCTGTATCCGACCTTAGGGGTTTAGGGTTTAGGGTTTCATCCTGTATCCGACCTTAGGGGTTTAGGGTTTAGGGTTTCATCCTGTGTTCGACCTTGGTTCTACCCAGCACATTTGTCACGAACCACAAAGGCAAACCCTAAAGGTCGAAAGTCTCTAAAGTCTCTGTACGTCCCAAACCTCCAGTCCCAACCCGGCCAATTTAGGCCGTGCCTTGCCCACAGTTGTCTTTTCGTTGTTTCTGTTTCTGGCGGGGCGGCCCACATCAACTGACACATTGTATCGTTTATGTTGAGGGTGCTGCTTCAGGCCTAACTTTTTCAGCGAACGGAGTCACCCCTCGGCCCACCCCAAACCCTAAACCCTAAACCCTAAACCCCACCTTTTTGTAAGCGCCCAGGCGTGCCGCAGGAGGCAACGAGGCCGGCGGCTACCGCGAAGCAGCCGGAAGGAAGGGCAACGTGAGGAGAGGTCCTTAGGGTTTAGGGTTTAGGGTTCAGGGTTTAGGGTTTAGGGTTTAGGGTTTAGGGTTGAAGAGAGGTCCTTTGTACAGGGCTTTCTGACAGGGTTTCCTAAGGCCCAGGGCTTCTATGGTCTCCATTGTAGTTCCTGTTTTCGGTTTAACCAGGGTTATATATATATATATAGAGAGAGAGGGATCCTATCAGGTATAACCCCGATACAACGCAGACTATAGGTAGTTGATGTTTCAAGATGTTAGGACTTTCTCTCGCAGATGCACACTTCACAGGAGGGGCCTGGGAAGTCTTCGATTTTTTTGGAGTTTCCTGACAAAGTATAGGGTATAGACAGTATAGAGTATAGAGCTGGGTGAGATTGAAGGCATTGCGGTGTCGTATTCCGGGTTTGCATGTAGCCCTAAGCCTCATTGCAAACCCTACGCCGTAAAACAAGCCCTTCAACGCACCCCAACACCCTACCTTAAGAACCCAAAACCGACTTTTTTGTAGGTTCTTATTATAAACCTAATATGGGATTTATAAGGACCCTACAAAAAAAGGTAGGTGTTGGGTTCTTCAGGTAGGCCTAAAGCCCTGAAGTCCCTGAAAGTTCAACTTTGCTCCCCTGCGGCTCCTCGGGCGCTGCCGAAAACGGGCGGCGGCGGGCTCCTTCTGGCGGAAGGGTTTGTAGGTCGGCTTATTAGAGCCTAGGGCTGTAGGGTCTAGTACGAGGTCCTGTAGGGTGCCTTGAAAAGGGTCACATTAACTTGGTGGGGTCCTCATTTCATAGATCCAACTACTTGGATGTTTCGCGGCTGTAGAGTTGGAGGGTTTCGGCGAGTTACACGGCTTCACGAGCTGCCTGTGGATCCAGTAACTTGTTGTTCTCAGGTTTCGAACGTACACATTTGGAGTCATAAACCACTATCTTGCAGGGTTTGAAGCCAAATGTCTATCTCGGGATTTCAAAGGTATTCGGTTTGGTTTGGAATTTGTGAATAGGGTCTTATGGCTTTGGACAGTGCTTTTGCATGGACGAAGGGTAAGATAGGGTAAGCAAGACAAGAAGCCATCGAACCCCACGAGTTGTAGCATCCCGAAATCCACAGTTCCCACCCCGAGCTCCCAAATCCCTCGGCAGCTAGGAAGAGAAATCAAGAGTGATACCAAATGCACTCTGAACTCTGCGCCCCGAAACCCGAAAACCTGCTACAGAGTAACGTAAAACCAACAAAAATGGGAACAGCAGCATTTCGACTCGACACGCTCGGTCAACAGGGGCTTCCACTGGCGTATACTGTCAAAACAGAAAGGTAGTTATGTGTGTATATTCATCCATGTGTGTATGTATGTATTCGCGTGCGTACGGACGACGTACGTACGTCCGCGTACAGGTATGTGTATGAGTATGCATGCATGTATGCATGTATGGATGCATGCATGTATCTGTATATGTATATATGGATATGTGTGTGTGTGTGTATTTGTATATGTATATGTTTTTGCATATGAGTGTGTATGTGTGTATGTATGTATCTATATATGTATTTTATGTATGTATGTATGTATGTATGTATGTATGTATGTATGTATGTATGTATGTATATGTATATGTATATGTCTGTCTGTCTGTCTGTCT